AAAAATGGACGTTGGGGAGTGAAGGGGAGCAACGGCAGTAATGGTGGAAGTTTGGAGTGTTGAGGGCTAGGGTTTTGGCTTGAAGGAGGAGATGAATAGTGTGGGTGCAGATGACCCTTCGTTTATGCATAAAAAGGAGGGAAAACCAAACGGCTACGCCGTTTGAATTTTGCGCATGAAAAGACAGCTTTGGGGCTGCACGGGGCCAATGGGATGAAGCCACGTGGCATCAAAAGGACGGCTGTCAGTACGGTTGTACAACCCTTAATAGGACTACGGGCAGGATACGAAGACCGACCAAATGGGATAGCTCGGTAATTGCTTCAACCCCAATCACGCTCGGCTTGGTACTGGCGAGACTAAGGGACTGTTAGCTCGGTCATGGTGGTAACCCCAATCATGATTAGCTCGGATGGGATTAAGGGGCAATTGAGAGGGGAGATTTGCGCCGGACAGTACGCCGAGCTATGGTAACGCGAGTGGGGCAAACCTCACGGTGCCGAGCTATCTTCTCAATTGGCGCGGCCCTCCGGCCTGTCATACACGGCCGAGGTAGGTTGGCCGACCAGGCATGGTCTAAGGCTTGGCCGAGCTGCGACTGCTAGACGTTCGGCGATAGGCGCGCTTTAGCACGGCACAACCGAGCAAATGACAATTCGGAATGAGTCTATGCCGAGAAGAGAACCAGCGCACTTCACCTTCAGTTAACCCGGAGAGTTTGGACCAAGATGGTGGTCAGCATGCGCCCGACCGAATAGCTCGGAAGCTCGGTCGTGTTCTCTGTGGTTGTGATTTTCTCCAAGGAATAGGCCGGTTTTGGTATGCCGGTCAGGTGTGCCACTTGGGCCAATGGCGTGAGGGAGAGGAAATCTGCTCCAGGCATGCGACAGTACCGTTTGGCAGTTTTGCATGTACTAGATGGAGGATTTGGCCTTTACACGCATAAGGTGGTGGGAGGCGAGCACTGCCACCTGTCTAGGGAAGGACAGCAGAGGTAGTGCGCGCACAATCCTAAGGCTACATGGCCAGCCTAGAAAAAGGAAGGGAAGATGAACATTAGAGGTAAGCAATTGATTGACCGTCCTTAAGATTTGGATGTCATCGTTTGAACACTCGGTGATCATCCTTGTTTGTGTTCGTCTTGAGTTCCCGGAGGTCCCGGCTACGCGCCCTGCCTCAGGATCTCTCGACTCGACTGTTTTGTGTTTGGTTTTGCACCAAACACTTGTTGTTTTGCTTCTGAGGGTGGGAAGTAGCTTGTAGGCCATCCTCACACCTCACCGGCCATGGCTTGAGGCCACCGGCCTTGTTTCCTTGCCACCGGCCATTGGTGATGGCCGGTCGGCATTGTTGATGGTCGGTCGGCATTGTGTTTGGTCGGCCGGCCACTGTTTCTGACCAATCGGCCACTTTTCCTGGCCGAGACCTTTTCTTAAGGGAGCTTGACCCTTTTGAACCTTTTTTTTAGCTTCTTGAGGAAGCTTGAACCTTTTTAGCTTCTCCAAGAAGCTTGAACCTTTTGACCCTTTTTAGCTTTTCCAAGAAGCTTGATCCTTTTTTAGCTTCTCCAAGAAGCTTGATCCTTTTTTTTAGCTTCTTCAAGAAGCTTGAACCTTTTGACCCTTTGTCTAGCTTTCCAAGAAGCTTGGCCCTTTTGCTCCAAGCTTCTAAGAGAAGCTTGGCCTTTTGCTCAAAGCTTCTATGAGAAGCTTTGCCCCCTTGGTTTCTCTATAAAAAGAGGGCCTCTCCTCCCCTTTAGGGGGTTAGAAAAGTCTGATATATAGGATATATATATCACTCCCTCTCTATATCTCCCTCTCTCTCTACATTTGTATGGGTTAGAGGGTTCAAAAGGGTTCAGTTCTTGCACATTTACACTACAACTCTTCGCCTAACACCTCCATCATCAACCTAAGGAGCTTGGAGGCCATTTTCAGAGGCTAAGGGACTGTTTTTTTGGACCAAGAGGCTGTTGTCCCCTTTTGGCTACAAAGGTAACTCATTTTCCCTCTTTATTTCCCGTTTTTGCACACACTTTTAGCTTGTCTTTCTTGCTGTTTTGAGCTTTGTGTATAACATAAAAAAAGTTCTGTTTTTTTTGTGTTTAAGATACTTCATTAAGGTCACTTTTGTGTTTGGGGTCGTTTACCCCCTCTTAGGCCTTGTTTGGCCCCATTTTTGTGTGCTTTTGGTGAGCTTCGGGACCACCTTGTTTGGGCGTCCTCACCACTGAAATCTTGAGGGATTTCAGTGGTGAGAATGGTGGTTTGAGGTCCTAAGAAAGAGAGGGCCATCCCCTCTCCTTATGGTCTTGATTACTTGCATTTTTGGCCTTACAAAGGAGCTCCTATTTGCAAGCTTCCAAGCTTTATTTCCAGCATTTTTTAGTGGGTTTTAGGACCCCCATAAGTCATTTCCAGATCTGGTTTTTCCATGTTAAGTGTCCTTGTTGCATTTGTAGAGTAACCCTCTTATTGGCCTTTCAAAGGAACACATCTTTCTTGCATGCATGGACCTTGTTTCCATGGGTTTTTGGGGCTTATTTGACATACCATGTTACTTTTTTTAGCTGGTTTGATGAGCTCTCACATGCTTCATATAGGTGTAGTGTAAACCATGCTTACTAGCCTATGTTGCATGTTGTTTTGGCCAAGCATGCTAGCTTATTTTGGCTACATTTCATACATGTTTTAGCATTATTTTGGGCTGCATAGGGACTGTTTTGGGCTGGTTTCATCATTCGAGCATCGCTTTGCATGTTTATAGTGTATTGCATCTCACTAGCTTTAGTGCTTGAGTCCTTAACAATGCATTACATGAGTGTTTGCATGCTTTTGAGTCATTTTGGAGTCATTTGGCATGCCATTTCAGATCTGGAACATGCACCATTGTATGCCATATTCCCTCCTTGCCATGCTTTGGTAGAGTTGTATTTTTGTGACTTAAGCTCGGTTAATGCATTGTGCATGCATTCCATGTATTTTGTTGCCTCACTTGCATCATTATGGCCACTGATTTTGACATGTTTGCGAGCTATCCATGTTAGTTTAAGTCCATCATCGCATGTTGTTGCATGCCATATTTGTTTACATGTTTAGGTTGTGTGCCTATTGCATATTAAATGCATTGCATAATCATGTTGCATTAGCCTTGCTTGCATGCTTAGGTTGCATTGCATTGTGCATGCATCCCTTGCCTCTTGATTAAGCATGATAGAGGTTGGGGCCTTTGATGTGTTTTGTGTGTGTATTTCATTTGATATTGAAGTTGCACACTTGGCTTTTGGGCCATCACGCATTGAAATGCGCGATTGGTGGTTCGAGAATCGAGCACCATACCCTTTTGAGTCATAAACATGATAAGGGATGTGGTGGTGCACACATTTGCTTGAAATGCATTGCCATGCCATGTTTTGCCCTCTACTGCTGTCAAAACAGGTTCTACAGGAAGCTTTGGCCGGCCGGCCATCTATACTGCCGACCGGCCATCCATTGTTGGCCGATGGCTTTATAGATGGTCGATGACCATCCGGACATGGCCGGTGGTGTTCCGTCTTAGCCGGTGGTGTTCCACAGTGTCCATAGAGTGCTCCCTGGGACTTGTGCAATTTTCAGAGGAGCAGAGCAGGGAAAACAGAGGCAAACTTGTGCATGGAGTTGGATTTCCGAGCAAACCCGAGCATGCGCGCATTGGATCCTCTTCTCGAGGCCTTTACTACTTTCTTAGCTTAGTTAATTTGCTTAATTAATTAGGTGGTCTGTAATAATTAATTAGCTTGTAGGTTAATTAATTGGTATTATTCTTTTGGTCCCTCCGAGTGAGGGCAATTGTGTAATAAGTGTGCGTGAGTGTGTGTATGTCTCCCAACCCCACGTCTTTCTTCCCTTTTATTTACTAGCTTTCGATGGTTAGTCTAGGGCATGTTTCAATTAGCATACAATATGATAGCACGTTTGCATCCATTCATTCGTTTTGCATGCACCGAGTTCGGCGCATCATTCTAACTGCGTTTGTATTCCAATTCCAAATTGAATATGTGTTAGTTGTAGCATTTCACATGTCATTATAGATTAGCCGAGCCCATCTTAGTTGCATTTTGCATGTGTTGCATTAGCCATCTTAACATGAACTAGGATCATGCATATGATTACTAACTAGTTTCTGTTTTGGCTCGGAGTACTTGGTAAGTTCTCATGCTTTAGCATCCTTGCATGTGTGTGAGTGTTGCCATGACAGCATACTTACCATGAGGCTAGCTGCTTATGTAATATAACTGCTTGAGTGCCTGTGGATGGAGGTTAAATTACCTAAATTGGAATAATGCACTAAAACTGTGAGTTGTAAGCCCACTAGATAGTGGCAAAAGCATCTTTTCTAAAAGCCCACTTGAGGGTGGCAAAATCTGCATTTTGGCCTACTTGCGAGTAGCAAACCATTTTCAAAACAAACATGCAATGTTTTGTTCCAATTTAGGCGATTTGGTCTATACTTGTTTGCTGTGCGCGTAACATAGTAATTCTAGGCTAATAACCGAAATAAGAACACATAACGTTTTCAAAAACGGATATCACGGTTAGTAGAGGCCAATCTTCGAATCGGGCGAGAGGGGGTGCTCATAGCTGACCTTCCCCAATCGTACCCAAGTTCCCGAGCCGAGGCAACTTTGGTGATGACGGACACGTGGCCTTTGGCACCGAGTCAAGGTTTCCTAAATTCTCCCATAAAAAATATTTAGGTGGCGACTCTGTATCTAGCAAAGCAGTCCATGTTTGGCACTTCTTTTCTAAAAATCTATTTTTCTCAAAACAATTTGCCGGATTTGGACTCTTTGGTTCAGATTAAGAACCGTGACAATTTGAGAGTCTTGAACTGTAGTGAGCCCAAAACGAACAGAACGGGACTCGTCCTCCCGGGGCGTTCGGGAACGTCTACACCTGCCTCAAAGATGCAATCGTTTTTTCCTTATTGTTATTGTTTGACTCTTGAGACCCTTTCCTCAACTAAGACACCAAGTTGGCCCGGTTTGCTGCTTGACTCTCGTAGTCGTGATCATCGTTGTCAAGCATTGCCCACAACATTCCCACTATATTCCCAAATGAGTATTTTGGCATGGGTGGCACAAGCCTTGACCGCAAATTCACGCCTCCCATCAATGCATAAGGCCTTTGAGACCCCTCAAATCTTGACCTTGATGCAGCCACTGCGCATTTCCAACCAAGTGCTGTAATAACCTTGACGCGTGTGGGTTTCTGTTCGCTCTCACACTCGCTGGCTGTTTTGGCCTTGAGGGAAGCGATTTTTAAGGCATCGAAGACAAACCTCTTTTTAACAACCTTTTGGGTTATGTCCTTGAAGGTAAGAGAAATTATAGGGATATCGTCTCTTGGAGGGAAGCGAGAGGAGGCAGCATTAAAATCTGGGACTATGGTGTCAAGAGATCCAACAGCGATGTCTGACCAACCCTTTATAAATATGCCAAAGGAGAATCCATCAGCAAATTTGTGCGACATTCTCACAGTAACGACAACTCCGTTGCATGGAAAAAAGTTGGCTTGAACGAGTAAAAGAGGGGACTTGTAGTAATCTGTTGGTTCGGGTGGAGCCAAATGATCGATGACTTTAAGTTTGGGTTCATCAGGAAAGTTTGAAAGATGGAAGTTGTTAATGACTCGAGCTTCAACAAAATCAACACCATCATCGTTGCAATCGACTAAGAGATTGTCTCTCAATCTTCCAGCAAGTGGGTAGAAGCTAGTGAGGGTTTCAGAGAGGGAAACCTTCAAGCGTTCCGATATTAGACCGACCATCTCTTCAGATTCACCACCACCAATAGTAGTGGGAGTAGAGTAGTAGAAAGCCATTGATATGTAATGAAATGTAGCGTGCTGATCTCTGAGTGAGAGGTTGTAGTTTCTGAGGTGATGAGGAGTGGGAGAAGATGGCTTGATGGTTTCTCTAGCAATGATCTCAACCTTAATCTCCTTCTCCATGGTTTTGGTCACCTCTAATCTTTTCTTCTACTTAATTGGGTTTTGAAGTTTTGTTTCTATAAAGATTGTGTTTGGTTGGAGGATTTGGGGGGAATTTGGAAAGGAAATGAGAAAAAGTGTGTAAAATTAGGTGAAATGTAGGTATATTTTATTTACATTTCACCTAATTTTTTCTTTTTATTTTTCAAATCCTTTCTCAAATCCTCCGACTAAACAGGTAAAAGAATTAAAGAATATATAGACTAAAACTTGCTCGTGGGAATGGTTCGTGGTGCTCGTGTAGATTAGGTAGATGCATTGCACGTGAATCATGACTTTAATTTCTTGTTTATTTTTTTATTTAAAAAGCAAAAAATAACAATATTGTATGGCTATATAATATGAGAAAAGTTAGGTATCATGAAATTTTTTTTATGAAAATGATCATGAAAGATTTATAATTTTTGGATTACCTTGATCAATGTGTGGTGCTTTATTCTAAGTGTAATTCGAATGTCACAAAACTTTTATGATTATTTTCATGAAAGGTTGTTCATGATACCTAGCATTGTTGATATAATATTTGGTTAAAATAGTCAATAAATATGAAATAGATTAAAATATAAATATCATATCTACGTCACAATCATTTTAATCCTTATCTCACAATTTTCAAATCAATTAAAAGAAAATAATATCATCTCAAAAATAATTTTTTTGACCAAGTTAAAGGATTATTTAGAATAATTTAAATAAGTACAGTTTTTGACTTTTTATTTATTTATTTATTAAAATAGTAAAAAAAATAGATTAATTTTTTTAAAAAAACGTAATATTAAATAATATAAATATTTTAAATGACATTTTTGCCGACTATTGTCAAGTCACCTCGCTTGGCAGAGCTTCACATTTTGCCCTATCTCTTGCTTTTCTCTCCGTCTTGCTTGTGAAGAGAGTGATGATGGAAATGGACACATTAATATATACTACAATTATAGAGACCCCTTTGTAGAGGACCTCACAACTTCTTTTGTGATTCATACCATTCATGATGTGGACCCCACGCATACGTGAGTGGGCCCCACACATCGTGAATGGTGTAGATCAGTAAGAGGGTTGTGGGGGTCCTCCACAAAGGGGGTCTGACTCATTTTTCATAATATATAGGGATATTTTGAAAAGATGATAAAAAATTAGTTTTTGAATTTTTATCAAGTTTTTTGATTTTTTTAAAAAGTGATTTGGAAAGTTGGTAATAAGATTTTTTTATATAATATTTGTTTACAAACATGCTGCATACCCCCAGTGGGGGTCGCGCCCCCAGTGACGTGGCGCGCCCCCACTGGCTGGAAACTTAAAAAAAAAAAAAAAAACAGTTTTTGTTTTTGGACCAATCCGGGGCCGACACCTCACTGGGGGTCGACCCCCAGTGGGGGTACGAAGCTTTTTTCATTTGTTTATGGTGTCACATCACATAAAAATGACCAAAATACTTCCACCAAACTTAGAAAATTTACTTTTTGACCCATGTGGTTGTTTGAACAATTACTTGATTTCATGGAGGGCAATTATGTAATTTCATCACTTGTGTTTTTGTCCTTTCTCAAATCAGCATGCTTGCTTTTTTATGCTGTTAGTGGCATTTTTGGAATGCTGCAAAATGAAGTTTTTTGCTCTCTTCCCAAATGGCCACATGGTGGTCTTTCCGCAACATTGGTAAAAAGCTACATTTGCAGCTTGGAAAAAAAAAAAAGAATGTACATTGGCTTTTTTAGCAAGAAGTTATTTGACAAGATGAAAAAAAGCTACATGAGAAATTATAATTACACCATTTGTATTGTTTAGGGTTGTACATGGGTGAACATGTAAATTTTTTAAATTGTGTGGGGTAGTTTGGTCATTTTATTGTGATATGACATTATAAATAAATATTAACTAAAAAAAAAAAAAATCAAAAATAGCTTTTTAACAACTTCCGAAATCACTTTCCAAAAAATTTAAAAAGCTTGGTAAAAATCCAAAAGTCAACTTTTTACTATCTTCTCAAAACAACTCATAGGCAAAAATCAGTAGCAACGGGGCTGATTTCCCTGATTATGCCATTTTCAATATTTTTTTTCCCATTTTAGGATGAGTTTTTATCTTTATTCCTATTGTAAGATAAAACGACTTTAGCAATACTGCTTTTCAGAAAATAAATTTTGAAAAGTCATATTTCGCAATTAAAATAATAATAAAATTTGAATATAGAAACCGACTTTTAAAAAGGCAATTTAATTAATTCTGAATTAATGAAAAACAGTTTTACACTAATTTTTTTTAATTTATATTTTTAACATAAAATATTTTTAATACAAAAAAGATTTTAGAAAAACCGTTTTATAAAACGGATTTAGAAAAACCATTTTTGTAATTTTTTTTTCCTCATTTGTTTTCCAATGTGGGAAGCTTGTTGGGCTTGGGAACCAAAAGTAGAGAGAGAGAGAGAGAGAGAGAGAGAGAGAGCAGCAATTCCAATGCATTCAAAGATGGGTTTCTTTAGAAAAAGAAAAATAGGTGGTAGCTCGAAATGGGTGAGGGTCGAATGGCCCGAAATTTGAAAACCACGTCGTTTTGCGATTTTCTTCTTCTTCGTTGAACACAGGAGAACAGAGGGGAAGAGGAGGAGAGAGGGAGAAAGAGAGAGGAGAGGAGAGAAGAGCTCGTCGCCTCCGCCTGCCGTCCTCGTCGCAGCTCGCAGCTCGTTCGTCGCCTCCGCTCACCGTCGCAGCTCGCAACTCGTCGCCTCCGCCTGATCGTGCCTCCGCCCCTTGCCTCCGCCTCCAGCCCTAATAATTGGGCCCTCTCCAGTCCTTCTCCTTCTTCCTCCTCCTCCTCCTCCTCCTTTCTTCCTCCTCCTCTTCTGATTTTCTACTTCTTCTGAAAAAAAAAAAGACACCAAAGGGAGGGGATGAACGGAGCTCTGTGTGTGTGTGTGTGTGTGAGTTTTCCAGAGGGAGGGAATGAACAGAGGGAGGGTGGGTGCACAAAGAAAAGGGGTGGGTGTACAAAGCAATTCGGGTCTTTCGACTCGCGCAATTTCGAGCTACGAAATGGGGTTGTTAGAAAAAATCTCAACACAAATAAAACCTAATCCATATAATACTCATCAAGATTTCACATTCAATTACTTATTATACAAGTCATATATGTGGTATTTTGAAAAGTTGATAAAAAAATTAATTTTTTTTGACTTTTTTAACTTTTTGGTGGTTTTTTTTTTTTAATATGAAAAAGTTAGTTTTTTTTTTTTTACCATTCTAGGTAAAAAAAATTAAAAAGTCAAAAAACTTGTTTTTTTAACGAGTTTCCAAATTGCCTCTATATATACATACATATTCTTGGATCTTCCACCGTCTCCTCCCTTTGTCTGTCAAGAAAGTGCAAACTTTTCTCGATAGATGGCAAGTTGAGAAAGGGCAAGGGTGATAAGCTCAAGGAGGTCTCTGTAAAATCAGAGCATTTGACCAAATTATAAGAATTTTGGATTTGAAATTTTACAAAAACTTTCTATCATTTTTTGGTCCACATAAATTCAAAACTTTTGGATTGTGTTTGGTTTAGTTTTGAAATTATAATTTGAGCATAGAATTGTGATTTAAATATGAAATTATGAGTTAAATTTTAAAAAGGAAAAATTTGTTTGGTTATGAGTTTTGAAAAGTTTTTTAAAAAGAGTTTTGAAAGAAGTTTTTAAATTTTAAATTTTGAAAAAGAGTTTTGAGTTTTGAAAATAATCTCAAATCGTAAACAAATATATAACTCAAAACTTAATTCAAAAATTATTTCCGAAACTTATAACCAAACACATAACTCGAAACTTCACACTACTTTCAAAATTTTGCACTCAAATCATAACCAAATACATAACAAAAAAATTAAAATATTTAGAAATATTTTTATAAAATAAAATAAAATATTTAAAATAAAAATTATATAGTTAAAATAAAAAATATTTTTTTTTCAATTTTTTAATATTTAAAAAAATACAACACAAAATGTATGAAATATAGTACACATTAAAATAAATAAATAAACATTTAAAGTATAAAATATTTATCCTAAAAATATTTCAACAAAGAACCTAACATAAAGGAGGACAACTGCAACAAAGAACCTCGAGATAAGAATCCCGGAGAGAGAGACGTTGGCTAAGAAGGAGACATATTGAAGAAAGCATGTCAGGGCGAGTATTACAACGAAATTGACCTCCAAGTATGGAAAGATAGATGCCTAAGGAGGGACGGCGAGATGAAGGAAATGACAAACAAATTGGCAGACCTACAATCGATCGTCAATTTCATGATGCAAAACAACGTCATGCAGCCACCATTCCCATTGGAGGACACGTCAATTCCAGCGACCAAGAACGATGCCCAGAAAGGGAGACAAAAAGCAATCCCCACAGTCTTCCAGCCTGACAGGGCGAGAGAGCATTCCCATTGGCCTTCACGGGTGGTCGGGCAAGGGGAATCGATTAGAGGAGATTCTTAGAGGACACATTGTGCCAAAGAACCCTATACCAAAGAACATCGGCATGTTCAAGGAAAGAAGATTTGCTTTGACACAACAAATGGAGGGAGGTCCAAGAGGACTCATAATGACACCGGGAGCAACACACCAAAAAGGCTGAAATTCGTTGATAGCCGAGCTCCTAGACGGACTAAGGAGGATTTAAGGGACTACCTCCAGAGAAAGCGACAGGATGCCGAGGTAACATCTTCAGTCAAGCCGAGAATACCGTTCTCAATGGAATTGGACAAGTTTGAGGCCCCGAAAAGGTTCCACATGCCGAGATTCTAGATATATGACGGTAAGTCTGATCCTAATTTTCACTTCGGCTTGTATTTAAACTCAATGGCACTGTATACCGAGAACGAGCCGTTGATGTTTGTGGCCAGGTTTGTCACAAACAACTGCAGCCGTTAAAGGTAGACTCCCTGATGGCTTTGAGAATTGGCGAGGATGAAAGCCTCAGGGCT